AAATACCGGACGTTTATTTTTGATCCAAGAGTTTTTTATAATTGAAGATACATATTTTGGTTTCAGTTAAAGCCAAAAAACAATTTAAACAGTTTAGAAAAAGGTGATGATAAATTGCGATGTCTACCTTTTGTAACAGTTCCTTTTGAAAGGATGTCTCAGGTTGATATTGGTTTTATCGGTTGCATATACTGCTGGTTGAATAACTTGTTTAGTTTGTCAAATTATATATCCGTATATGCGTAAAAAATCGATTTAGTATACCTATATATATATAACTTTAATTGTCCACATAATAGAAACAGTTCATAAAAATAGGATTATTGATATAATCCCGATATCTTCGCCATAAGAAATATGCGCAGAAGAATTTCAATTAAAATTTCTTAAAAAAAATAATATGAATTTAATAATTTACAAATAAATTTAAAACATCTAATAAAAATTAAGTACTTAAAATAATAACTACATTAATATAAAATTGCCATTGGCCTTTTCGAAACCCTCTTTTCCCTAATCGTTAATACTCCAAATGCAGATATGACTTTTGTCCGTATTTCGTACACAATTGAAATAAAAATGCACTTTATTGAAAAAAGCAGTTTGTGTATGCAAAACTCATGTTTATTAGGTTAATTAGTAATTAATTAATCAATTAGTACTACCTCTATTTTTTAATGTTTTACGGAAGCAAATATTACAAAAGATTTTTTGAAAGCAATTTTTTGAAAAGTATTTTAAGGTGCGCTACACACAAAAAAAGAAGAAAGACACTCAAATTAAATTTGGAACAAATTTGATGGATCATTGAGCAAATTGAACTACGATTGCATTTTGGCAGTTGTTCAGCATTGTGATGGAACCAAAGAGAGTTGCGCACAATTTGCTATCATATAAATTATATTACATAGGAATTTCCAGATACGTGCAGAGATTCACTTAAGTGAAGACTTTTGTACCAAAAACAATGAAGGTCAATTATCATGTCATATGACTGTATTGGTATGAACTCAAATCTAACAATTTTGATTTAATGAGGTTTTCGTGTAGAATGTAGAGTACGGAGTGGGAAAATGGGAAAATTTTGGATATGCTAGTTGAGACGCACCCACTGGCAACAGCTTGACATTTTGCCTTGTATTTCTAGCTGTAAGTAAAGAGTAAATAATTGCTGCAGAATTGAAATTATTTAGGTTGCAATGTGAAGTAAGGTTCGGTACATAAATGGAAATTGGGTTACAGCAATTGGTGAATGATTTGATTTATTGTATTATAATAACACATTTTTCAAAGGTTAGAAATCTAGCATAAGTAGAGAAATGAGAAAAAAATTTATTTCAAGGTTTCTCAACAGAATATTTTACACAAAAAACTAACTGCAAATATCTATTTTATATATCAGTTAGGTTCCATAGTGAAAATTTTCTTAACCGAATTAACAGCGTCAGGTAACTTTCGAGCATTCAGAAGTGGAACTTTACCAAATTGAGTTAAGTTGAAAATAAATTAATGAAAAAAAATGTCTATAATAAAATTATAGGCTGGGTATACGTTTGGCGGCGGCATTGGATAAGAGACATTTCAATGTACTATTAATTATGTTTTAGTTTTGCTATTGATATTTATTCCATTAATAATACTGTAATTTTTAATAAGCAATTTTTAGAAGCAACAATATGAAAAAATTATAATAAAAATAATATAATGGATATCAGAACTTTTACTGCTTATTATAAAGGTTAAACAAATAAGAGTTTCATTTGCTTACTAGTTTATTTATTTATTGAATATTGCTAATGACAATATAAATACAGTGAAAACTCTCCTAACGGACACCCCTGTTAAGCGGACACTTCTCTTGAGTAGACAATATTTCTTATTCATTCTTATTAATCAGAACAAGCTAAACCCTTTTGAGCAGACACCTCTTTAATCCGGACGAGGATAGAGAATTTCTGCTAAATTCTGTAAAATACCCCTCTTGGCGGGACGTGAACTCCTTAATAACGCACAAAATAAAAAATAAAAAAAATCACAATCAATGAAAATTGGGAACTCCCCACATAAAAGGTTTTGCATAAATTCCATTAAATTTTGGCACATTTGAATGGCAGGAAAAAAGATCTTAGTATAAATGAAAAAATTGAATGTTGGAACGCATACGAGAAAAATTAGTTGCCAGTGCTACCATTACCTTAAAGGTAATACTATAGGCATATAAAAAAGTATTAACTCAATTTTTCAAAATCAGAGTCAGCATTAGAAAAACACAGGCTGCGCTTATAACCGTAGTTCGTAATAAAGAAAATATTCTGTCAAAGTGGTTGCCTAGTGATAATTCTAATACAAAGAGATGCTTTGTTAACGTATACCGCAGAAAAATAGATCAAACCTGTTCTGATTAGTTTTATAATATAATAAGTCGAATTATTTCGATATCTGTCACAATTATTCGGTATAGGTATTTAGTATTTCTGGAGAATGTGCTGCTGTCAATACTCACGATGTTCCCCAATTTTGAGAAAATCTTCCAACCATGTTAACCGGTTATAGCGCTAAAGACAAATACAACGCCAATGAGACGGGCATTTTCTTCAGAACTTTACCAAATAAAGTTTAGCGTTTAAAAATAAAGCATGCAACGGATGGAAACTATTGAAAGAAAGGCTTACAGCCCTTTTTTTTGTGTATATATGACCGGAGATGAAGAAACGTCACATGTAGTTAAGAAAGCTCTTTGCACTAGAACGTTTGCATCAGTTGATATCAAAAAACAACCAATGAATTGGCACTCAAATAAGAAAGCATGAATGAGACTCGAATTGATGACACAGTGGCTAATGGAGTTTGATCGAAAATAAAGTTGCAAAGGAAAAAAATACTATTGTTCCTAGAAAATGGAACGTGGGTGTGATACCCACGTGATCCGCAATTAAAAAATATTAAATTAATTTTTTTTACCAGAGAACACAACTTTACTTTGGCAGATTTTAGTTCAAGGAGTTATTCAATAATAAAAATGTTTGTTTCAAGGTGCTCTAAGCTACAACTTCGACGCACTAAGTTAGACAATTTAGTTTTATACTTCTTGAAAATTCATTAAAGTAATATTACATGTAATGTCATAAGTCTAGATTCTTGAGTATGAGGTGTTATTTCCTTTGTTCGATCTTCATCCATACCAGTTCATGACATGGCACCTGTCTGAAATCTTATGTCTTACTTTGCTATCCCAGCAAAACTTATACGACTATGTAAAAAAAAACTGAGTAACACCACCAGCACCCTTAGAATTTGAAAGAACCTCTCCAAGCCCTTTAACCTAATGTTGAAAACGATGATCCGATCAACAGATTTCAACCGTACTAGCACAATATTCTACAAGTGTAGAATTTGCCTATGATATTGATATCATTGGCCTGAACACCAGCACTATCAGTGCGGCATTTTCCAACTTAGAAAAAATAAATGAGATCAAAACAAAGTACTTTCTGTCAACAAACAAGTCTACTGAGCATCTTGGGGCCCACTTCACTGTTGACAAGTATAAGTTCGAAGTTCTGAAAGATTGTGTTTATTTGGGAATCAACGTAAATACCAAAAATGACGTTAGCCTAGAAATTCAACGAAGAATCACTCTTGCCAACAGATGTTATTTCGGGCGAGGTAGGCAATTGAGATATAAAACCCTCTCTCGATAAACAAAATTCTCGCTCTACAAGTCTCATACCTGTTCTGTTGTATGGTGCAGAAGCTTAGACAATTACCAATAGAGATGAGAAGGCGTTATAAACATTCGAGAGAAAAATTCTTTGGAAGATCTATAGTACCGTACGTGTTGACGTCGAGTATCGAACGATGAACTGTATGATCTATTCCGCGACATTGACATAGTTAAGCGCATTAAAATTCAGCGGCTACGCTGGCTTTGTCATGTTGTGCGCATAGAATAAAAATCTCCGGCTAGAAAGATGATTGGTAACAGCAGGTGGAAAACGTAGTAGAAGACGTTCGCAACTTCAATGGAACCATCAGGTGATCAAAGATATGGGGATGCTCAGTACTATCAGCTGACAACAGTAAACCATTGATCGACCCATAAACTACATTTACTTAATTTTATATGAAAACTTGATATCTGATTCCACTGATATTAAGTTATTATATCAGGTTAAGATTATAATTGTACGTATGTTTCTGTATCCGCCATTAGTGATGCTGTCATTAGCGTACAAAGAGTAGTGTGCTGATGCAAGTTGATGATGCTGAAAAGTTTCAATATCTTATACATTTATTCTTGAAAATACATTTACACTTACAACTTAAGATTATAACCTCATAACTAATGTGTTATTTGGATGTAATATTGTAAGAATATATTTCTACATCCTTCACAAATAGTCTAAATAATTGTCTACTAAATGGCAATATAAATAAATTTACTATAGTTTGGTTGCTTGACAGCTCTGTTATCACTATAATACTATCTGTAACAGCGATGATTAGTATGTCCGTCTGTCTCTCCTTCAATTTTCAATAAGGTTAAGGTTAAAGTTAAATAACTCGTAATCCTTCTTAATTTCTGTAGCAGACCATATCTATAAAATCGAAATGAAGTAATTTTTATGTAAGACTATAAGACTATATTCTTTTGTAGAAGTGAGTTTTAAAGACTTAAAAAATAACATTTTTTATTCCATTAAATGACATTTCAACTAATTGATATAAAATTTAAGGTTACCTAAATTGTTAATATTTCGTATTTGTTAATATTTCATGAATTCCTGTATAATTATTTTGACTTTGTTGTATTTACTGCATCGGTTCCTAATTAATAAATCCGTTTTTTAATTAAACCTCCGTTTTGAGGTCTGATCTTTTTATTAATTTTTATAAAAAATATTTAATATATTTTCTGTAAATAATTTTTCATCAAAATTTGAATTTAATTCACGACTACTTAAATTTTATAATTTATACAAAAATTTGTAATATTTTAGAAACACCAACAATGGCTAAAACAAAGAGCTCTACAAAAGCCAACTTCACTACCTTTGACTGGCTATAAGGCTGCATTGGAGTTACCGAATTTATGGCGTTTTCCCAAACAAAATAATGGTCTAAGCATAAATGATGTGACATATCTAGAAAATGAGCCCGATGAAACTAATAATATCGAAACACTCATAACAACAACCACTCAATCAACAACGAGAGCAACAACAAAAGCACCAATTAGAACAACTACATTAACTAACGAAGTAATCGATATAGTGACGGATTTAAAGTTACCAGTAAATACCACTGTTACTGCCACACCTGCTACTGAAATCTCTACTACTACACTTAGAACCGTTGCTAAAGTAATGAAAGCTCATACCGTTTCAAATTTTACATTTCCAGTAAAAGAAAGCATATCGGAGACCTCAACCAGCGCTACGCCAACCACTACAACCACTACAACAACAACGACTACAACGACAGTTCCACCTAAAACCAAACCGAAACCAAAGCCGCGTCCGTATCCGCGTTGGGGTAATTGGAGTAAATGGAGCGATTGCTCACGCAGTTGCGATGGTGGCGTAATGTACCAAGAGCGAAAGTGCATAAACCGGTAAGTTCTGTAATTTTTGGCAAAAACCATAAAAATTTGCAAATTTCACCTAAAAACAATAAGCGGTTGTGATGTTTTTTTTGTAATTTTTATATTAAATCGATAATTAATATACCCGTATTTAGTGTCCAAATAGAAATTTAGTAGGTCGCGAAGTTTGTAAAAATGACATTATATTACGGGGTTTCTGCAGTGAACTTGTTTCCGGCGTTATTCTGTTTTGTTTTGTTTTGTTTTGCTTTGATTTTTATTGTTTGTTTTACTGTTGGATTTGTGAATATATATAAAATAAATTGTCTCACAATACCAAGGCAATATAAAAAGAAAAAATTACCGAACTCTGAAATAACGTCAGCGTACCGGCTTGACATTGTGTCTTGAATCATAACACAAAATCTCACCAGACACGACAGGTACGTGCACAAACCGCATATTGATTCAGTGAGGCCGATATGACCAGATTGTGTACTGCCGGCGTACGTTTAGGTAGTTACGAATACTCTTACTGTGGTCCACAGGTTCAAGCAAACGGGCAAAACTTACAAGTAAAAAGTCGTTTAGATATTGCTTACGTTTCTTTTTTTTTAATTATATATTAAACATACTAAAGTAGTTACTTCATTTATTGTGGCTTTTTCTAGATATTTTGTTTTATTGTTTTTTTTTCTGTGGCTGCAACTTTAACGCAAATTAACAATGCTAATTGAATTGACAATATTTCAGTATAAACTCACAAAATTATGTGATAATTTAATTTCAAAAAGCGTCCGACATCAAGTGTTTACGCAATAATCAGAATACACTTGAAAAAATTTTTGTTTAAATCTTAATTAGAAACCACAGAACTGAAACGATTTTGCCTTAAACATTCCATAGATGTGTGTTCTTTAAAGCAGAAGTCCATATGTGGATTGTCTAACTAAAATACTTCATTAGCAAAAAGTATTATAATTGTCAAAGTAATATACATATTTTAAATACAAGTATATTTGTAAAATAATTTGAAAAAAAAATAAATTGATTTTCAATATTAATGCATTTATATAATTCTTATATATTTAAAATCAATCTTACAACAGTACAATGTACCCATGCATAGATACATTAGCAAATATACACAGCATGAATATATTTATTAGAGTAAATTTCGATTTACCTCATATATTCGCATTATCACTCTAGAAGTCAACTAAAGTTTCAACTAACATAATTTTATAATTATAATATTTAGAAAATTTGAGTCGAGATATGTTTATACCCTTCATTTACTTTATAACTCTAGAAGTCATTCAAAAATTCAACTTCCATCATTTTATTATGATAATACCAAGAAAATTTGTTTCAAATTTTTACAATCAAATTTAACACCAATGATGAAAACTGATGAAAAGTTCCACTAAAGATACGAAAGTCCTCGACCGCATTTTTTACCTACGGGTACTGAAACAAAAACCTTTCTACCCAGAGAAATTTTTTTCATTCGCACGACATGACCAAAACGGCGAAGCCACGGAATTTGTATGTGCTTAACTTTGTCAATGTAACTTTGTCAATGTATAGCTCATACAGCTTATCGTTTCGTCTAATTCGATACTTGTCGCCAACGCGTAAGGTACCATAGATCTTCCGAAGAATTTTTCTCTTGAATGCTCCTAACGCCTTCTCATCACTATTGGTAATTGTCTAAGCTTCTGCACCATACAATAGGACAGGCATGATGAGATTTTTGTAGAGCGAGATTTTTGTTTGTTGAGAGAGGGTTTTATTTCTCAATTGCCTACTTCGCCCGAAATAATATCTGTTGGCAAAAGTGATTCTTCGTTGAATCTATCGGTTGACTTCATTTTTGGTGCTTAAGTTGGTTCCCAAATAAACAAAGTCTTTCTTCGAACTTATAATTGTCAAAAGTGGCATGGGTCTCAAGACGTTCAGGACATTTGTTTGTTGACAGCCTTATCCTCATTTATCACAAGACCCATTTGCTTCCCTTATTTTTCTATGTTGGATAATGGTGGTTTAAGTCAATGACATCAACATCATCGGCGTACGCAAGCAGCATTATAATTTTCTAGAATATTGTGCCAGTTCGGTTGAAATAACTCCGCATTGAAAGGTTCTTTCCGATTCTAAGGGTGCTGGAAGTATTGCTCAAGGTCATTTAACATAACCATATAAGTTTTGCTGGGATACTAAATTCAGTCATAGTGGCATAGAAAGATGAAAAGTTTACTTGATTTAAGTTTGATAATAATAATATTAAGAATATTGGAGAATATCATCTATAATAATTTGATATGATAAACTAAGAGAAACTTGTATAATCTTATCTTTACTGCGAATTTCACGGTGACATTGCATTCATACCCTAAATTTTGAACTTCTGACATTACTTAAAAAATGAAATACGAGTAGCTAAAATTATATTGATTATTTGTGGACACGGGTGTTTAAAACAACATGGAGTCAGGTTGCGGTTGCTTTTTCAAACTCGTTAAGATCGTGTTCGGCGACGTACGAAGTGAAATATTAGTTATGTCACTGTGCAGTGTTGTCTAGATCCAGACTTAAATAGAGAGTAAGTTTCTGCTCACTCCACAACATGCGCAATATTGAATATCACCATACCTGAATGAGTCAGGCTAAGCCCTCTCTCCAAAGTAAAATGAAATATAGAACTAAAAAATCCGTTATCTAATTAAAAAGAGTTCAATTTCACCCTAATTCATAAAGTAGATGCAGGTATAATAAGTAGAAAGATAGATAAAGAAAATGCATAAGATATACATAGGATTGAACAGGTAGTGTAGAAACATAGTATCGCACTATGAACATTATAATAAACAGGTGTTTTATTATTTGTTACTCATGTATACCTCATGACAAATATTGTGATTAAATGATAATTAATTTTGTTATGACTGTTTTACTTTCGAGAGGCCACTGTTTTAAGCAAGATTATTGTGATATAAAACATATAAAAAAAATTTAATAGACTTAACAAAATTAACACAAAATGAAATACTACTAACATATATAAATTAAAATAAAAATACAAGCAGAATAAAATAATGTTAAATATGAAGAACAAACATACAATAAACTAATTTTATATTAAAATTAATACATTAACTAAAACAAATAAAATCAAAACACATTACAAGTATAAGATTTGATTTGAGATGATCTGGAGCACCGTGATAGAAATTTGACTCTATAATAGCATAATGTGACTTATTAACTGAAAAAAAATATCATCTCTCAATATAGTAATGTCACCAAAATAGAATATTGAAAATTGCGTGAGTTATTCCATATTTTCAATACCATTTAGTTTCACAGTTGGAAAATGAAAAACTTAATATATAATCATTAGCTGCCAACATACTGGACATTAAAGTTTGTGATCTTACTTTGATCTTACTTTGAATGACTTTTATCCAACACCGTTGGGGATAGAACATCAATATACGTACAGAGTGAGCAGAGGTACCATTATGCTAATGATAATCTCGGCAAGTAGATTAGTCTCAATGTGTTTAATAACGGATAGGTATATCAAATTACAATATATCAAATACACTAATTCAAAAAGTTACGATATAAATATACCATAATTAATTAGATAGATATTAAATGGTTATGTATATATACCTCCATATTAAACCACAATTCTGTAATTTATATTATATATTTTTATTTGTTTTAATTTTAAATAAATATAATTTTAAATTAAATTAAATTGAACAAAAAATAAAATTATCATTTGAGACTTCCGCCATATTAATATTGCTAACTAGTTTAAATAGAATAGGTGCAATTTTAAAAAAATAAAAAAAAAAAAGATGAGATCTGGACAACTAAATTTATTGAATTTTAGTTTTTAATTTATTCATTGTAAAAAAAAAATTTATTTTACTACTAATATTAGAATATATTATGTCTAAAAATATTAATTCTATAATAAAACGCTTAGTGGAAAGTATATTAGAAAAGGTGCATTGATTATAGATGTAAGAAAAAATATATGGGGAAAAGAAAGAAAGAACAACGTAGTGAATGTTCAAAATTTGAGAGAATTCGATTTGTAATACAAAGGGTTAAAGAAACTCTACAACAACATAATAAACAAGTTAAAAATATTTAAGGTCGTTTAGTTTAATTCAATAAAAATATAATACAGGATATATAAACGGAACACCAGAACTAGGTGATGCCGCAAACTCTGTTGCGATGCACATAACATAATTAAAATGACGCTGCATTTGCTTTTAATAAAATAATATCTCTTGAAGTTACCCCCATATTGCGGTAAAATAATATCTCTTGAAAACGTTCGGGATAACAAGATAAAATATATCTGATTGAACTGCATCAGATTTAGTTCATAAATCTAAAAGAGTAGTTTAAAAAAAAAGTAAAAATAATTTGTTCCGCTTATGATAACTTTATTCTTTAACACCTCAAATTAAACTCCCCAATACATTAAGTCCGGGATGCCTACAGACAGCGGATTATTGCATGGAAAATAAAACCACCTCTAAAAATTCTAAAAATTCTAATTATAATATACAGCCAATGTGGCCAAGTAGCATCGAACTTTTAGTTCAAAACAGTTTACGTTTCTCAGAAATGGAAACTAGATTTGCATTAAAGTCAAAGTGGTAATAAAAGCTGTGGATGTAATGGCGAAACAAGTGATCACATTGTTCCAGGATGCTAAATGGTTGAAATAAGAAAACATGTATATATACAATAGTTTGTTGACAGAAGACGACCTATCAGATATGGATGTACATTGAAAAAAGGTTGTTTGGTAGTGTTTATATACTGGTTTCATGATAGGACCATACTTGCTCGACAAAAAAAAAAAATCTTTACATAAATAGTGCGAGAAACCTAATTATAAATAACGGTCGATAAACATGGTATGAATGACTTTTGAACTGTATTGCATATAAAGCTAATGGAGAAACCAGCTAGAAATTCAATTGTAGCGTAAC